AAAAATAATCACAATGCCGCACGGCGGCGCAACGTGATCGCCCTGAAGGAAAGATTCGAAAGCCCGCCGTCGCCTGCGTGTTCGCCCCAACAGGCATTACCGTGCCACGTGGCGAATGCTTGTCACCGCCAACATGATTCGGAGCAATACCGTCGCTGGGAGTGTTGCCCTCATGCTGGTGTCGTCTCTTCGTGTTGCCGCGTTGGTTGCACTGTGTTGTTTGTGTCGTTGGCTCTACGAGTTGTTCGAGCTGTGCCGCGCGAGCCAGTATGGTCGTGGCCGCGGCAGCGGCAGGGGTGATGACATAAAGGTTGATAGTGACAAAGGGCAGCGGCAGTGGAAGGGGCTGCTGCGATGGTAGTGGTAGTGGCCATAGTCTCTGGTTTCTGCGGCGGTGGCATTGTGAGCCGCACGAGAGCCCTGGAGTGGAGTCCGTGCTTGGCAGTGGTCATGGTCGTGATCCGTGCTGTGACACTTCCACAGGCCGCGGTGCAGCTGGAGCGGGTGGCGTCGCGCCTTGTAGGCGTGAATTGGCGCACCATTGGTGGCGGTAGGTTTGCTGGTCGTGGCTATGGTTGTTGCGAAGGTGAACGTGGGTGTTCGGGGTTGCGGTTGTGGTGGTGGCACTGCGCTCGCAGCAGCATTGCCACCAATAGCCGCTAGCAGTAGTAGCTGTGAGCCAACAAACGAAAAGGGCAAAGGGGAGGAGGAGAGGAGCGAGGAGGAAGAGGAGGAAGGGGAGGGGAGTCGCCCCTCGCCTCACTCTTTCTTAGTCGTCCTCCCTGCTCCTTCCCTGGTCGTCCTCCCTTCCCCCCCCCCTCTTCCTCCTCCTTCCCCCTCACTCCTTTCCGTCCTTCTCCTTCCTCCTCCTTCCTCCGCGGCAGCAGCGGGCGGCGGCGGTAGCAGGAAAGACGATCTCATGCTTTCCAAGCAATGGGTATGTAGCCGCAGGCTGCGGCAACTCGTTCCTGTCACAGTGATCAGCAATCGCCTGAAACAATCGTGTGTTCATTAATCTGTGTTGGTATGTATTGTTGGGTATTCATACTTCTCTCGTACGTGCATATATCATGAACATACCAGCGTGCACAATCACGCGACCAGGCGGGCCATGAGTGAAGCTCGCTCGCCAAGGGCCGCGGTCGACAGCACAACTCCAGAGTCGGCACCGCGAGAACGCACAAGCAACATACTCGTATAGCTTAAAACACACATCACTGAGCCCGTTTTGCTGTCGCCACCTACGGTGGGCAAATCGGCTTTTTGGGCTCTGCCTTGCGCTTGACATCAGCCTTCTCCTCAAATATGCGCATCAAACCCTTCGGGATGAGACTGCTCTCCTTGGAGCTGAGGTTGCTGAGGTGGATCTTGATGTTCCTCTTGAGCTTCAGCGGGGTGTCGGCGAAGTCCCTGCAGCACACGAGCATGAGACACTCAGCCTGGGTCACCTTGGCACGGCCAAGCTTGGTAGCGATGTCTTCCACCGCAGCGTGGCGGCCCTCGTCCTTGTCGCCGTGGAGATCGCGGCTGTTCTTGGCCGCCGCAAGCTTCACCGACACCACATCAATCGCAGTCTTGAGCGCCGAGGGCCGACAGATCTTGAAGATGCTCTCCTTGGCCTTCTCCAAGTACTGGTCGAGGGTCGTGGCGTCATTGAGGCCGTCGTGCCACAAGCCCTCATCGACGCCCGTGGTGATGGAGTGCGAGAAGTGTTTCTCGCATGCCTGCAGGGCGTCTTCGACCTGATAGTTGCAATCAAATGTGGCCACCTCCAAGGCCAACTCTTGCACCTGTGCGTGCCAACGAGTGAAGAAGTCCAGCTTGATCTTTGCACTCGCCTGGGTGGCCCTCCAATCGCGGCCGCCCTGTCGCCGACGCGCGCGACCTTGCCCCCACCTGCCCCTCCGCAGAGGCCAGCTGTTTGAGTGAACAGGAGGGGGGAGGGCGAGAGGAGGCGAGGAAAGTTGGAAGTGGATGGAGAGCGAGGGAGAGCAGGGGAAAAAGGGAGGGGAGGGAAGGAGGGAGAGGGGAGGGGAGAGGAGGGGAGGGGAGAACGTCGAGAGGGGTGGTTGGGATGTTGCGGAAGGGAAGGGGGAGGCACAGCCGCGCGCATCAGTTATAGGGCAGCCGCAAGATCGGTGCCAGTGGGCCTCAGTCATGGCCGCACTCGCGGCAACGAATTGGCCGAGCTCCGACGTGCCCTTGCTGCGCTGCCACATGGCCTCCGCCGTGGCTCCGTGCTTCTTGAAGCCCACGACCGCCACGAGGTCCCACTGGATGTTGGACAACTCGGTCAGGCATACTTTGAACTGCACCATCTGCTCTGACAAATCCCCCTTCAAAGCGATGAGATCGAGACCAAGATCGCACACCAACCGAATGTATTCGAGCACGGCCTGAATCATATTCATGTCCTCGCCACTCCCCATGGCAATCATCACTTTGACCATGAACTGGTCGATGCTGTCTGACAGGTCCTCAGGTAACGACTGCACGCCGAACTCGATGTACGCCTTGACTTGGGCATGAAGAGATTTGATGTCAGCAGCGCGAGTCTCGCGCTCAGCATCGCATTGGAACGCTCGCATGCACTTGATCATCGTGCCGACGTGGTTTCCAATGTTGTTCTCCTGCTGGATGCGCACGACATAACTCGAGAACAAGTCTCGCTTCGGCAGCGCGAAGGACATCTGAGAGGTGATATCCACCAGCCCCTTGAGCTCAGCACTCCTCTCGGGCGGGAACCTGCCCTGCTCGATCATATCTGGAAGGCTGCCCGTGATCTGGAGTGTAGCCTGCTCGGCCTGGGATCTGAGCTTGGTGCCCTGGCCCTTCCGAAGCTTACCGTGCGTCTGCTTAATGAGATTCCACGCCTGCATGATCATGGTCATGTCATCCTGGAAGCTGTACTCGGTCTTGCTGGACAGCTTCTGCTCATACTCCTCCAGGCGTGGCAAGTAGGTCTCGCAATCCTTGCGAGTGCGAATGAACTCTCCAAGAAGCGCCTTGTAGTGAGAAATCTGCTTCATGGCCGTCAATACGTTGGACATCCCGCCTTGCCCTGTCGACTCTTGCAAGCGGTCGTAGTCTTTCGAGGTGGCATTGTACTCCTTGAGCTTCACGGTGTCTGTTTCCATCACAACCAGGACCGCCCGAAGCATAGACATCATCTGGTCGGCGTGGTCCTCGTAGACCTCGAAGTCAATATGCTTGCTGTCAGAAGCAGCCGTGATCATGTCCAAGACCATGTGGACGACTCGCAGCAGCGAGTCATGGGAGGGCGCGCCATCTCTGATCATGGGCGCGAGGATCTTCGAGATCAAGCACTCCCGCAACCTCTCCATCTTCTCGGAAGGGCTGCCCTCGATGTGCCGAGCGAGGGGGTTCTCGGGGTCGAAGCTGTCCACGCTGCCCCCGTCCGAGGGCCACGGAGTGATCATGCTCAGGAGCTGCGCGGCCTTGTCTTCGATGCTGTGCTGAAGCTGCGTCCAATCACGCAATGCTCGGGACATGCAGCTAAGCTTCGCAGACGTAGGAAGGTCGACGTTGTGCTTCTTGAGGTCAGCCGCGAACGAACCAAGCTCCTCGTCCGATGCATTGAGCCAGCCTTGCTCGGTAGAGAACTGCTCGCACTGCTTGTGCAAGTCGTGGTGCTCCTTCATCATGACTGCCTCCTCTCGCCCCATGTTCTCGGCCTCCGTGATGTATCCCTTCAGCGTGTTCCTCTCCCTGCCGTGGCCGCCAGGTGTCCTCCCAGCGAGGGCCTTCGTGAAATTGACCTTTGACAGCTGCAACACCCACTTCGCTTTGATAGGGTCGCTTTTCAGAAGATCTGCGACATCGGGCATGCACTCCTGAACGCTCGGGTCCGGAAGGCTGTCCAAGGATTTTGTTCCTGACAAGGCCCGGAGTGCTTGGCCGCTCGAGGGAGGCTTCTCTGGGGTCACAGCAGCAGGCTCGGCCCCAACGGACAGGATGTCAGCGTCTTTCTCGAACTCGTCAGCCTCGAACCTCGTGGAGGGGCCCCGACCATCGTCGAGCTGACTGGAGTCGTCATGCAGACTGAGGGCGCGAAGCTCCGCATCCTCTTCCTCCTGCTTTTGGCGCTCCGTCTCCTTCTTATCTGCCTCCTTCTTCGCAGCCCGAGACAACAAGGTACTCATAGAAATGATAGTGCTGCCGCTGGGGTCGAGCTGACCGTGGAATTTGCCCGTGGCACTCTCGTATACCAAATCGCATTGCCCATCGTGAATAGTAGAGGCTGGGCGGGCCAAAAGATTCGACAAACTCAACATCTTGGAGAACTCGAATGTGAACGTCCGAGGGGCTCCTTCAAGATCGCTTGTGAGAACGCCCAAGGTGGGCGTGCCGAACTCGTCCCACAGCTTGAAGCACTTGTACCCGAGCTGTTCTGGCATATATTTAAACTTGTTAAAGATCTCAGGGCGAGTCCAGAAGCCAAGGATACGCTGGCAGGAAGCCTTCTGCTCAGAGCTATCCTCGACCTGCTTCGGAGAGAATCTGTCTACCTCGATCTCGTTGTCAACCAGGTACTTCGAGGAGTCGTCGAAGGCCTTCCTGAATGATGGGTCGTCGCCGTACTTCGTTCCAGCCTCCTCCTCTGTCATGTACGCGTACCCGATGGCCCATGGCTTGTAATGGACTGGGCAGCATATCTTGTTCTCCCTCTTGTCACTCGCAGTCAACTTCTTGCCGCAGGTGCCAAAGCAGCAAACCGACCTTGACTGACGAGCAATCTTGGCAGCTTTCTCCTGCTGCTCCTTGGCATCCTGGGCCTTTGACTTCCTCTTCCTCGGGGCTCCACTCACTCCAGTAGCCACGGTGTCAGCGCCCAGGGTCCTGACCGAGCCAGCGTCGTCATAGTCGTCACCGCCCTGGCTTACAGCCGCACCGCCGAGCTGCCTCTCGACAACCTTGCGGGCGAGCCTCTCCCTGGCCGTCGCCATGGACGTAGTTCCAGTGCGAAGAGCGACCAGGGAACTCGGTTAGGACCTCACCTGCAGCAACACAGAGCAGAGCCAAAACGGCTGCGTTTTCACGCGTGTTGTTTGTTGTTAGCAGAGTGTTCAACGTGCATGCTATGCCAGCTGCGCAATGCAATGCCATGCTGTGCATTGTGATGCTATGCTATGTGCGTGCCGTATGTTGCACTGCTGTGCGGTGCATTGATTGTGCAATGCTGAGCAACGCAATGCTATGCTATACTATGGTATGGCCACGGCACGGCACGGCACAGTTGGCGCACTATGTAATTGTTATGCCGTTGGTTACGCCATACACATTGGGGCACCATGTTTATCGTAGCACCATGTCTATACTCTAGACAATTCGCTTGGGCGTCGTTTCTGGAAGGGCTGGCGCTGACAGGGATGCGCGAAGCGCAAATAATCATCGAAGGCAACGCCCAGCGCATTTGAGACTTGTTTCAGACTTGTTGACGAATGTTCGAGGCCTGTGCTTGGACGTGTTAAGACCTTGTTGGTACTTGTGTAGGACTGGTTTGGGGCCTGTCTGAGACTTGTTTGGCACGTCCTTGAGGTTTGCGTCGTTCTTGTTTGAGACTTGTGTATGGTTTGTTGCAGACATGCTTGGGGCTTGTGCTGGTACTTGTTCGAGACGTGCTTTGTTCCAGCTCCTCGGCTACCCCCCCCTTTTTGCCACGCCCCCCTTTCGATCGCTTTGGTTTCCTACACCTCCTCCTCTTCCTCTTAACTTCTGTGTGGGGGGGCCTCTGGACTGCACCACTTCCTCTTCCTCTGTCCCCCTCGGGGCGCAACTCGGCGCTGGTGGGGTGGGCGGCATCCCCATGCCGTCCTCCGAGGATGCTCGACTCACCACCCTCCAGGGACGCTCGACCCTGCCTTCCAGGGGAGCAAGCACCCCTTGCCGCCGTCCAGGGACGCTCGACTCACGGACGAGGGAGAGGGCGAGGTTGGTGAGCAGGATGATGGAGAGAGCGGGGATGGAGGGTGCGAGGGCGAGGAGTGCGAGGATGAGGAGTGCGAGGGTAAGGAGAGCGAGGATAAGGAGGGCGAGGAATTTATTTGGCCGTTGGCTAGAGCTAGATCAATACTCGTAACATCGAGGGCCCGACGAGGGACCGACAAGACACGAAACGAGGGCCAAGAGGGACCGAACGGCGGAGGGACAACGACCGAACAGGAAACCGAGGCCCGAAGCATAGAGGGAACACCCAAGCAAGAGCGAATGATGGTGACGATGATTGTGATGGTGGTAATGATGACGACGATGGTTCGGATGACACTGATGCTGAGGATGCATATGACGAGACTGACTATGGTAGACATGATGGTAACGATGTTGATACAACAAGTGATGATGGCCATGGTGATGATGAGAAAGATGCTGTTACTGACGATGTTATGATTACGATCGCTATGGCGATGACGATGGTGGCGCTGACGATGGTGATCATGACTAGGACAATGGTGTAGAGTTCAAGGCCGATGACTGCAACGAGAACGGTTAGCAGTGTGATGTTGATGATGATGATGTTGTTGATGCCGATATTGATGATGGTTGCGCTGCAGAGCAGGGTGGCAGCTATACACAATATGATAACAATTACGGCAATGGAGATGGTAATAGTAACGGTATTGATGGTGGTATGAATGTTGCTGACCAGGATGACGGTGAGAATTGTGAAGAGGATGGTGGTAACGACGATGATATTGCTAACGAGTATAATGGTGGTGGTCATGAGAAGGAGGAGGGGGCCGAGGTCGATGATGGCGATGTTGGTTGTAATGATGATGTTGGTCTCTTGGATGCTGATGATGGCGCTCATGGCGATGATGACGGTGATGGCGAGGATGACGCCTTGTCGGCCCCAGTATCGAGAGGCACCGCCGTCGAGGTGTCATTCGGCCCGCCTCGGACTGAGGAGAGGAACAGGGCTACCGAGGAGCAACGCTACTCGCACTGCAGCTACCGAGGAGCAGCGCCACTCGCACCGAGCTGCCGAGAAACTCGTAGAGCAGAGCAGCGCTACTCGCACAGAGCTGCCGAGAAACTCGCACCGAGCTGCGGAGAAACTCGCCGAGGAGCTAGCCAGTAGTGTCCGTGTCCGTCGAGATCTCGTCTTCCATCCTCCGGGCGATCGTCTCGGTCCACTCGTTGCTCTCATGCTCATCCTTCAATGCCTGCTCGCTCTCGAGCTTGATGCGGTTCATCCGCACCTTCAAGGCCCTCATGCGGTAGCCCTGCCTCTTGATGATCATGTTTTTGATTTTGATCGTCTTCAGAAGGCGCATCACACGCAACCTCGTAGTCGGCGAAGAGCGGCGCACCCACAGCGCCTTGGAAGGCGTCGTCAGCCACGGCTGTTTTTTGGGTGCCATCGCTGCTGGTCGCGCTGGAAACAGGGCCGAGAGGTTCAAGGCAAAACAAGCCAGTCCGTCAAACGGCTCGGGTTTCGAGACGCAAACGATTACGGAACGTGTTGTTGTTTTGCGGTTGTGCCATGTTTGTAGTTGTGTTGTTTCCAACGTCATTCGTGCTTGTTTGTGCGTGTTTGGATATATGGTTTGTGAACGTTTGCATTGTCCAGTCGTTCGTCCCCCTGTGTTGTTGTCTTGCAAAGGGTACCTACATGATTTCGTGCCACTCATGTGTGTTACGTGTGACAGTGCTTCCGATTGGATGTGTTGTTTGGAGGGCCTCTTATTTAACTTATTAGTTATCATCTCACACATAGTGGCACGCGCAATGGACACGCCTCGCCATATTTTCCAGCACAAAAGAACCCCGCTGACTAGGATCCGATGAAAGCGAACAAGATACACACGCAACGTAGATGTGTGCGGGGAACAGACGAATGAGTTACGCATCGATGGGTGCGCGGTTTTGCGGGAAACCCAAGGGGAAGATGCTGAAAAAGAGCGCACGAAGACACCACCGAAATTCAATGTAAGGCGTGTGTTGTTTTGGGGCCCTGAAGCGACTTGTTGTGAGCATCCGCAATAACAAGCGTTCGCGAACCTTACTTATGCATACCAAGGGGCCTCCCAACGACCCTCTAGGGTTTCTTAGGTTGCCATCCAGGAACCCTTGTGGCTTCTTAAGGGCGGTCTGGAAGCCCTTCGGGGCTTCGTACAACACCCTCCAGACACCTACGGGGGCAGAGTCTTGATGGGGCTCACCAAGGATACGACAGAACTTCTTAATGGGGCCCACCATGGTACTTTACGGCCTGTCAGGACTGCTCCAGATACCCCAAGGGCCCGTGAGAGGTCGCCCGATACCCTTCAGGGTCGTGAGCGGGCCTTACAGGTATGTTGAAAAGCATCCAGGAGAATCGCCAGGAATCTTGCGGATGGCATCTCAATGTGGCCCTCGGGAGACCCTTCAGGACATTCCGCGGGCCCCTTGGGGAACCTGATAAGGACCTTGTTGCTCTCCAGAAGCGGTCAAGGTCTTCTGGGCAAGACGACCAAGAGACTTTCCAAGGGGGTCTACAGGTGCCCCTGAAAGCCCCATTCTGAAGATCCGATTGCCCTTGGCTGGCCCCTCAGCTGCAACGATTGCCAGCACTAGCCTGGCAAAAGACCCAACGATAGGCAGGTGGGAGCACCGTTGTTGCCAATGGCGCATTCGGTGGATCTCCCTGCGGGGCCGCGAAACGTTCGCTGGGCGGGGGGGCGCATGCGCGCGCCGCCACGGGGGCCCCAGGCGGAACCCCCTGTGATGGGGCTACGAAGCGCTGTGCTGGGCGCGGGAAACGCATTCGAACGCCGCCTCTGGGGCCTTAGGTGGGGCCCCCCTGTGGGGCCGCGAAACGCCGCGCTGGGCGGGGAAGGCGCGTGCAAACACCGCCGCTGGGATCCTTAGTGGGGCTCTCGATGGGACCGCGAAACGTCGTGCTGGGTGGGTGAGACGCATGCGAACAGCGCCACTGGAGCTAAAGGTGGACCCCCCTATGGGGCCGCGAAAGGCTGCGCGGGGCGGGGCGGGGGGGCGCATGCGAACGCGGCCATTGGGGCCTTAGGTAGAGCCCCGTACGTGGCCGCGCAACACTGTGCTGAGTCGGGGGGGGGGCGCATGCGAACGTCGCCATTTGGGCCCTGGGATGGGGCTCAGCACGGGGGCGCGAAGCGATGTTTCTGAGCAGGGCGGGGGGGGGGGGGGGGGGGCGCGCGTGCGAACGCCGCCGCCGAGGCGAAGGGCGGAGCCCCCTATGGGGCCACGAGACGTTCACTGGGCGGGTGGGGGCGCATGCGCACGCCGCCACGGGTGCCTTAGGTGGGGCCCCATGTGGGAACGCGAAACGCGCTGTTGGCTGGGCGAGGCGCACGCGAACGCCGCTGGCGCCTTAAGGCGGCGCCCACGGGGCCACGAAGCGCGGTGCTGGGCGGGGGGAGGGGGGGGGGGGGAGGAGGAACACCGCCACTGGGTCTTATGCGCGGCCCCTGTGGCGCCACGAAACGCTGTGCTTGGTCGGGGAAACGCAGGCGCGCATCGCCGCTGGGGCCTCTGGTGGAGCTCCCTACGGGGCCGCGAAACCTTCGCTGGGCGGGGGGTGGGGGCGCATGCAAACAGCGCCGCTGGGGCGAAAGGCGGGGCCCAAGACTGGGCCACGCAACGCCGCGCTGGACGTGGGTGGGGGGGGGGGGGAGGGGGACATGCGAGCGCCGCCGCTGGAGCCACACGACACGCTGTTCTGTGCGCGACGGGGGAGGGGTGCATGCGAACGCCGCCGCTGGGGCCTTGCGTGGAGCTCTCTATGGGGTCACGAAGCGCTGTGTTGGGCGTGCCGAATCAGAGACATGCGGTGAGCAGGCGCAAGGAGGGGGCCGAGGGAAGAAGGGTGAGGAAGAAGGGTGAGGGGCGCGGGGCGCTGCCCCTTCAAAGTGAAGGCCCAGCAACACAGGATGGTTGGGCAAAAAGCTAGAACGGGTGCCCTCCACGCACTTTGCGCGATGCCCCG